TTCGATTGGTCCGATTGTGGTGTCAACATATGATTTCAATCATCGGCCGATGCCTATGAAATATTATCCAACTGATATACCGATTTAACATCATAGCCCGGATTTATTGAGTATCAAAACCCAACAATAATATATTTCAATCTTGTATTTTATTATTATCTCTTAAATGTTTGCATGGCAATGTCTTGTATATTAATTTTTTTATTATTATCTTTTAAATGTTTAATGCATAGCATGTACAATCTGTTGATAGTATTATAGAATATTCAGTACATGTAAATGACAAAGTTCAAGGAAGAAGTACGGAAAGATATCAAAAAATGGATGTCAAAGGAGAGCAATGAAATGCTAAAACCTATGGTTGATGCTGCCACTTGTGGATGGCTTGATATGGTGTGTTGATGAAGATAACAGTAGAGAAGCATATGCTTCCTCATCTTAATGAAAAGTTTGGGATCGAAAATACTTATACCCAATATAAAAGTCGTGTGAAATGTTCAAAAAACAGTACAACAAATATTCTAAGCTCATCATCATAAGGGCCTTGTGACAAGGAAATTCACTATTGGTGATTAAGAAGCTCATCCTAAATTAATCGTTCCATACTTCATCACTAACAATTTCTTTGTCATAGGATCCTATCCAAATCCAGAGTTACGATGCATGAGCTTATAATATTTCTTGTACTGTTATTTAAATAATTTCACACTACATTTATATTGGGTATAAGTCTTTTCAATCCTGAGCTTTTCATTAAGATGAGGAAGTATATGCTTCTCTACTGTTATCTTCATCAACACACCCTATCAAGCCATCCATGAGTGGTTGCATCAACCATAGGTTTTAGCAATTCATTGCTCTCTTTTGACGTCCATTTTTTCATCTCTTTCCATACCTCTTCCTTGAACTTTGTCGTTTCCTTGTATTGAATCTCCCATAATACTATAGCCAGATTGTACATGCAATGAATTAAAGATATAGTAAGACAATATAAAAAAAACTTAATATGCAATACATATGGCACTCCATGATTGAATTAAGATTGAAAATATATTATCCTCAAGTCTCTTTTCTTGTTTTGGTTATTGACACTTATAAGAACATTAACCTTCTACTGCTGTCTATTATCCCTCTCGAAAAGGGGTGGCAGGTGGATGGTAGAGTTAGTTATTTTTCGAAGGTGGTTGTCGAAATTCGTTTTTTTTTTTTTTAAAAAAAAGAGAGATTACTCACAAGACATATAGTATAACAGATAAATTGAGGATTCAGTAACGACTTGTCATTTGTGTCCCTTAAACCTTATATTATTATCAATTACCTTTAAAAACTTATACGTATTACCAAAATGGGCTAACAGCAAATTCGATTAAGCCCCTGTTTGGTGCACATTTTGGGGCCAAGAATGCATTTTTTTTTATTGACGTGATGGGAGAATGTGTGGTTGAAAAAGAAGAAAAAGTTATTGATGTGATAGAAAATATTATTTTATTAAAGAATGTGTGGTTGAAAATGAGTAGAAAAATGAAAATGAAAAAAATAATGTGGCTCAAATAGGGGCTAAATTCATATATGAATGCAGGAAGAAAATGGGCTAACAAATTCAATTCAAAAGCGATGATGCAAATTTAATTAAATTCATATAAAGTTGAATATAAAATAGTTATAAAACCATAATTGAATTAAGCATATAATTTCAATTCAAAAGTGATTATAAAAATCGATTAAGGCAAATTCTTACATGAATGAAAGAGATACAAGAAAACCCTAGGAGATGAAAAGTCATTCTTTTTCGGGCTCCGGAGTTTTCACAAATCTCGCGTTATAGAAAATATTTGTTTTGAGATTTGCTATTTATACCTTTTATCAAAAAGTCTCCAAAAGTTCTGTAAATATGAAACTCCCTAAAAGTATATAAATTTGAAAACTATGTCCTAACTACATAAAAGAGGCAGTTTTTTCTACCCCTTGTCGAGCTCTCGCCTCCTTCCCCAAAACGACGTCATTCCCCACAGCCTTTCTTTCAATTCAAAATGTCATACCTCTTGTTTTTCCCTGTGGTGTCTCTCTTCGTGAAAACCTTGACGGAAACCCATTACACTGGAGGTGAAGTCCTTCTCCTTTGATACCATCGGAAATGTCAAAGCCAAAGAACCATGATAAAGAAGGAATCTCGTCGAACCAGCAGCCCCTCACCTTCTTCGGAAAGCGTTGCAAATGAATCTCTGGCGACTACAACATCGAGAAGGAGTCCATCCTTCATCTCGTACTCCGCCACTGCCTCAGTCGCCGATGCCTCAAAGGTATGTTCTTTATGTCTTAAATCCCATACCTCCGTGCGAGACGGAGACATAGTCCTGTCTCACGGTAATTTCCTCAAATTTCTTGCACCATATTTGGTGGGTTGGCAGTGAAGGGGTAGGATGGGGTACGTATCAAATGCTATGGTTGCATGCAATTGAAGTTTGGTGAGTAGAGAGCCAAACTTGGGTGGAAAAGGGCAATTTTCTTTATCTTTTTACTGTTGAATCTATAGGAATGAAGCTCTCTTCTGCTGGTTTAAGTCAGCAGTCTCCCGAAGGTAAAGTGTCTTTTCTTGAAGTTAATTCTGGCTTCTTGAAGGCTGCATATCTCGTTTTGGCCTTTTTTGGGTGAGGCCAAAATGTATGTTAAATTGCATATTCTTTATAAGTTAAAGATGAAATTGAGCAATAAGAACCTCTTTATACCTAATTATAAATATTAAGTGCAGAATCCTTGTTGATGGGTGTAATGATTGATTAACTCTTCAATCAAACCAATTAATTCTAACAATTCACAGAGAAATTGAACTCGTAATTAACAAAATCAATTGAAGACAATGCCCAATTGAAACGGTATTTCACTGAATTTTATTGAATGAAATGCAAAAGAGTAGAATGAGAAGAGAGAGAGAGAGAGAGAGAGAGAGAGAGAGAGAGAGTTGCAGAGAGATACAGAGAGAAAAATGGATTTTGACACTCAACAACAAACTCTCGTATCCACTCCTCAGGTTAAAGTAGTGCAGGAAACGTGTCTTCAGTTCATAAAACGTGAATAAGCTAAATAATTAAGCTAAAAACGCGATAAGTTTAAACAATTAAATTGGAGACTAAACGGTGTCGTTTCTTTCAGGTTTGAAATTCTGGTAGAGCCGTTGAGTCCTCTTCTTCTTCTTTCCCCAGGTATTCCCTTCCTGTGTCTGATTATAACAATGGGATCTTAGTATTATACAAATTGGGAGAAGGGGGAGGTTGGGGAGGTTTACCGTGAAGATTAGAACTTTTCCATTTCTGGGCTGGGGGGGCTTCAATGTAACACTTGGAAGGAAAAAAAATCATTAATTTCAAAATCCCCTATATCCCTTTTTCTCTGTGATTTTTTTTATTTGGTCAAGAGAGGCTTTCGTTACAATTCTTTTGATTGTAACTTGAAAGGCTTTATTTCGGGATTCCCTATATACACATCTTCTACATGATATCTGGGCTTTTACTTTTTGCCATTAGTGTTCCTTTTCATTTTTTATACTGACTGCAAAATTTAATTTCCAAACTGCAACCATTTTAGGAGGATGTAGTAGTACAAGAAATTTTGATAATTTTAGTTCTATTATCAGGGGATAAGAATTTTCTGAATTCTGAACTTTGGCATATCTGTGCCGCTCCTCTTGTTTCTTTACCTGCTGATGGGAGCCATGTGGTGTATTTTTCGCAGGGTCACAGCAAACAGGTTTGTTTATTGATTTTTTTTGTTGATAATTTACAGTTTTCTCAAGGTTGAATCTTGTTACCCTGTACATTTGCTATTAATTTATTTTTAGTTTTGGTCTTTTGCTGGTGCCATTGATGGCAGATCTGTCTTGAAAATAAGATCACGTTGAGCTCATTATTTTTTCAATGTTTTCTCAACAGATTGCTATATCAACCAATAAGGAAGTTGATGCACACATACCAAACTACCCGAGCTTGCCTCCACAACTAATTTGTCAACTTCATAATGTGACAATGCATGTAAGAGATCTTCAATTTTGGTTGTGGTCCAATTATGCTTAAGAGGCTTGTTCTAAAAGCTTATTATTTGTTATTCAGGCTGGTATCGAGACAGATGACGTTTATGCTCAAATGACCTTGCAACCGCTGAGCCCAGTACGTCAACTTTATATTAAGATTGGGTTTTTAATTATTTCATGTTTTGTTTCATTTTAGTTAAATCCTGATGTGCCTTTAATGCAGCAAGAGCAAAAGGATGTTAATTTCCTTCCTGCAGATTTGGGTGCTCCCAGCAAACAGCCGATGAATTACTTTTGCAAAACATTAACGGCGAGTATTACAAGTACTTATGGTGGATTTTCGCAATTCTTGGAATGTTGTATATTAGGTATGCCAAGTGCAACTTAATTTTAATTTACTTGTCCACTATAAAATAAAAGAGTTTCCACTATACTGTTCACAAGTCCCTTCCTGTGTCTGATTATAACAATGGGATCTTAGTATTATACAAATTGGGAGAAGGGGGAGGTTGGGGAGGTTTACCGTGAAGATTAGAACTTTTCCATTTCTGGGCTGGGGGGGCTTCAATGTGACACTTGGAAGGAAAAAAAATCATTTATTTCAAAATCCCCTATATCCCTTTTTTCTCTGTGATTTTTTTTATTTGGTCAAGAGAGGCTTTCGTTACGATTCTTTTGATTGAAACTTGAAAGGCTTTATTTCGGGATTCCCTATATACACATCTTCTACATGATATCAGGGCTTTTACTTTTTGCCATTAGTGTTCCTTTTCATTTTTTATACTGAATGCAAAATTTAATTTTCAAACTGCAACCATTTTAGGAGGATGTAGTAGTACAAGAAATTTTGATAATTTTAGTTCTATTATCAGGGGATAAGAATTTTCTGAATTCTGAACTTTGGCATATCTGTGCTGCTCCTCTTGTTTCTTTACCTGCTGATGGGAGCCATGTGGTGTATTTTTCGCAGGGTCACAGCAAACAGGTTTGTTTATTGATTTTTTATGTTGATAATTTACAGTTTTCTCAAGGTTGAATCTTGTTACCCTGTACATTTGCTATTAATTTGTTTTTAGTTTTGGTCTTTGGCTGGTGCCATTGATGGCAGATCTGTCTTGAAAATAAGATCACTTTGAGCTCATTATTTTTTCAATGTTTTCTCAACAGATTGCTATATCAACCAATAAGGAAGTTGATGCACACATACCAAACTACCCGAGCTTGCCTCCACAACTAATTTGTTAGCTTCATAATGTGACAATGCATGTAAGAGATCTTCAATTTTGGTTGTGGTCCAATTATGCTTAAGAGGCTTGTTCTAGAAGCTTATTATTTGTTATTCAGGCCGGTATCGAGACAGATGACGTTTATGCTCAAATGACCTTGCAACCGCTGAGCCCAGTACGTCAACTTTATATTAAGATTGGGTTTTCAATTATTTCATGTTTTGTTTAATTTTAGTTAAATCCTAATGTGCCTTTAATGCAGCAAGAGCAAAAGGATGTTAATTTCCTTCCTGCAGATCTGGGTGCTCCCAGCAAACAGCCGATGAATTACTTTTGCAAAACATTAACAGCGAGTATTACAAGTACTTATGGTGGATTTTCGCAATTCTTGGAATGTTGTATATCAGGTATGCCAAGTGCAACTTAATTTTAATTTACTTGTCCACTATAAAATAAAAGAGTGAGTTTCCACTATACTGTTCACAAGCCGAATGACGATCTAAGCGAGACTTGTTGGAGTGAGCCGTGGTAGCCGACCCTCCATTAATTGGTCCTTTTTTTCCTTTTCCCTTGGTTACCATCTGTCGCTCTCGCTCTCTCTCTCTGGTCATTTCAAAACTTTCCCTTAACTCGGTTTCTCACTTTCTCTAGATGCTTCTCTCTCTTTCTACGTCCTTCCTCGCGATTTCGTCTCTCTTTTTGAAACCCTAACCAATTTCAAAGATTTCCTCCATTTCAAGTGCTATGCTACGTTGTAAAATCAACAACATCTCACATAAATTCCCTTGGTTCTTCTCCTCTACCATCGGTTTTTTGTACTTCATCGTTTCTCATTTTCACCCTTTTAGATCCCCTTTTCGACATTAGAAACCCTAACGAAATCTCACAAAATTGCTTCTATTCTACTCCTCTACAAGAGAGAGAGAGAGAGAGAGAGAGAGAGAGAGAGAGTTATGAAAGCAGATGGTGTGGTCTCGAAATCTAATTGATGAGTTGATTGTTTTATTTTGCAAGTGAAAAGGAAAATACCAGGAACTAAGAATTTGAGGTATGATTTGTTTAGTGTTTCTTTTTTATTTTTTGGTAAAGGGTTGATAGTTTTAATACGAGAAGATTAGAAACCAAAATTGGGTATTGTTCATTTCACCTTTATTGTACACTCCATATTTTTAATTATCATTCATATATTTGTATGTTAATCATCATTTTTTGTGCATGTTTATGCTAAATTCCCACTCGCAAGCGTGAAGAAAGGGAGTATAAAGCAATTATGTTATATATTGGAAGAATCCCACTTGGATTTTATGATAATGGAATAGAAGGTTTGGCATATTTTTTCGAATTTAAAATTTACGTGTGCATCGTGTGCACATATGACGGTAAAAACATTCGTTTTTGCAGATTTCTTTAACCAATATGGTACAATCAAGAGACTCCAAATAGCAAGGAATAAGATATGAAGGTTTGTTCTTTGAACTCCAGTCGTTATCTATTCATTCTTCTATTAGTTTCACTCTACGATGATAGATGTTAACATGAAGAAAGGATTTTGAATGGCTAGGTTCCCTTTTTTGTTTAACAAATAAAATACCTTGCATATCTCCGTTGCACCTAAGAACACATGGCTTAATTTCAAATTTGTGATATTATAAAATGATAATGTTTGATTTATTTATGGAATACGCAATTCCTCTAATTGTATGTTAATTCACTATTAACATACATCACTTATGGTCACTCACAGCATACTCAGTAATTGTCAATCTCTGATTGAATTGAAAGCTGCTCCATTTTCAATTGAATACCCAATTTCAATTCCATAACAGATAACCATAAATCTCTACTGCACACACCATACAACAATACCAAAAATGCAGTATTAAAAAAAGAACAAAAATGTCTCAACTGAACTGAACATAGAGTTGAGAATTAGGACCACGTGCAATTTTATCAAATACCATCCATATTTGACTTTTTTGCCAATCTGACTTTCTTCATTGTGGGGCTACATATGGTGCACTGTTGGTAATTCTCAACAAAGACCATCCATATTTGACTTTTGAAAAATTTTGGCATGTATCTAATTCTAATTTTCCAGTTTGTCCTTCAAAATAGATGGTGGGAGGTTTTTTAAAATTGAAGGACTTCTATGGATATTTTTGAAAATTTGTGTCAAGAAATAAGGATATTTTTGACCTTTTAAATTGCACCTTCACTTTATTGTTTAGAAATTAGAAATATTGGAAACAGTTGGAATAATGGATATGCAACCCTTTCTTCTCTTTCTTCTTCTGTATTTTCTCACGCTATCAACCATACCTCTTTTCTTCTCCATCATTTTCTCACTTCTCTGTTGTTCTCTTTTTCCTGTTTTCTTCTTCCCACAATTCATTTCTTTTGGTTTATACTTTCTTGGAACTTTATTTTTTTGTTCTACCTCCTATTTAGTTCTTTCTCTCATGGATGCTTGCAAGTCGCGGTAGTGCTGATCGTTGGTTAGGAAAAAGGCGTCGTAGAGAAATTAATGTTACTAAATCTAAGGAATCTCTAAATTCACGGAGCCGGGAATCATATGCTGAAGCACGAAAATTGCGAGATTCACGCATCAAAGAATTGCATCTTCAAACAAAAACATCTCGATCCAAGCATTCTCAGCATTACAGGGAGACCAGTACTTGAGGGTATTTGTACACAACTCGCTCATAATAGTACTTTAGATAAATTTGTTGATTCGTTAGAAATAGAGTAAGCTTTTTCTTCATATTTTTGTCCTGTTAGTTGTAATATGACTCTTGATTTTTATTCTATTCACATGAAATGATGGAACCTGATTTAATGTAAATCTCTTAATTTCTTCTGCTAGGTTTTCTTTCCAATCCTTAGTATTACACAGCAGCAGTAAATAGGTTTATCAGCAGAAGGTGAAATCTAAAATACATGTTTCATTTATCTTTTTTAAGAAATAATTTCATTTTTCCTAGGACTTTCTTGTGAATGTTCAGGTTGTTGTAGAGAGGATGTTCTGTATACAAAGTTTTAGAAGGCTTGCTCTGCGCCATTGTTGGATTTTCCATGAATTAAAGAGAGACTTTACTATTTTTCACAGGGACACATGGAACAAGTAATTTTCTTCAAGTGTTATGAAAATTATTATGGTTGCTTAAAGTTCAGATTTCTGTTTGCAAATTTAAGCTTGAATTCAACTTATTTGTAGGATTTGCTTAGTAATGTCTCTTCCTTCTTTTTTTTTTTTAATGTTTTGGGATTGGTTAGTTGGAGGCATCAACAAATGATGAATTGAATTAGAGGATAACAACATTTAGTCTGCCCTCAAAGATCATTTGTAGCGTTTTTAACATTCTGGTATGGTCTTTCGTTTCCATTTTCATTGTTTTTTTTGTGCTTTGTGAAATATGTTAGTGTTTGCTTGTTAAACTATGTGGAGTTTAATCATGCTATATATTGGGTAGTGCATACATACTATATATTGGGTAGTGCATAAGTATATGAGATTAGGATTAAATTATAACATTGCTATGATAAGGTGCTAGGAATTTGGGGACTATGGCTTTTATATTTGTTTATTAGAGCTGATTGTTAAGCCATTCAATGATATGTAACAAGTATAAATCAATTATCCATAATATATTAACATGTAAATCAACGAACATTAAACTAAGTTATAAACACAGCCCTAGCCCTTTCTTGCAAGATATGTTTGAAGAAGCTAAGACTCAAATCGTCTGGTGGTGGGCTCTCTATATGCTTGTCGTCTCTTACTTCTTGACATGTGAGCTCCTCTATTTTTCTCATTTTGAGTACACTGTCGGTGGTGCTGGTGCACGATTCTTGTTGTCTTTTAGGGTGTGATAATGGGTGGGTTATAAAAAATAGTACAACTGCAGTGCCAATAGATCAGAATTTGACACAGTTTATCTTCAGTTTTGTTAATTTCATTAAACTACAGTTTGTTTTCATTATTTGTTTTTATTAACTAATCTATGTGAGTGATGAACAATTGCTTGATTAGTCAAATTATGTGGTGTTGTTTATCTCTGAATTTGTTTTGATTTTTGATTGGTGCAATTGACCTATAATTAGACTTCTACTAATAGTAAGTCTAAACATTGTAATCATTTTTTCGGTCAATGTATTATCAGTTCGTCTTATGAGAATGAAAATGCATATTGCAAGTTCTCTTCTGGAATGGTTCTTAAGTCTTTTGCTTGTTACCGTTTTATTATTTTGAAAGGCAGAAATCTACCGTCGTCTTCTTCGTTGTGGAAAAGATTGAGAAATTGCGTCCAAATAGGAGACCGACGAACTGAGGTATGTCGATTCCACGTTCCATTATCTCAAGAACCCATCAGAA